AATAAAATCCCAAAAAGACTTCGCAAACAGACATCCGAGCTCAGTTTTTACACAATTATTATAGAATATATATGGTTGAATTTCACAAGGAGACTATTCGCTTCGTTATCTAAGAAAATTCAAAATGGCAGGAAAAATATTGGGGGGGCTATAGCCCCCCAGTCCCCCCCCTGTTCCGCGGTTCATGCTACTGACATGTGACCACCAAAACACGACAGCGGGAATCTCTCATGTTTTCATACTGTCATCAATTTTCAAAGTTTTGATATTAATTTAAGTTTTGATCAAATTATATTATGAAACGTCCCTGATCCATTTTTGATCATTTTTAGCATGATTTCTAGTGTTTTTCTCGCTCTTTGAGGGCCATGTGAACCTTCCCGCCGAAACTTGCAAATACTAATTTACCCCTTATTTCGCTATTACAGATCAACTCAAAGCGAACTAAAAAWATTGCTTATCTCAATGGTGTTCTCTGCGATCTAGACGTAGAGCTTGAGTTCCCTCGTCGCTTATATTCATCGAATCTCTCCGCTGCGCTCGACTCTAACGTGGCATATAGCTTTCACTGACAGTGCTGTGTGTTTGAATACTAAACCATCTAGCATTTCAGTTAATGATTATAATCGTGTAAGATATATTTTTGTTTTAACGACAACTGAATGTCATCGCATGTCCTTCACAGTAGATCTAAATGGGATTATAGGGCTTCATGCTGAGAAAATCTTTATCGACCAAAGCTCGTCATGCTGCAAACGAAGAATAGCAAGCATGATTCTCTACGATACTTTCTKCGTCATCYATCATAAGAAGTATGTTATCATACTTATAAGATTGGAACTGAAGTGGTTCTAACAGAAATTAAGCTTTATACATTTCCTGTTGATTTTGCATCGTGTAACGGTATTCACAGTATTAGGAWACCTGTGTTAGACGGGATTCCTTTGTAGTCACAGAGTCCGCCATTGTTGTATGCGTGTTAGTCCATTGGAGATTGAAAAAAACATGTTAGAACCACAAATACTGTTTGTACTAACTTCAATATGACTTACAAAATTAAGACATGCAGATTATAAGCACCTCGAAGCTCGAAGATGAGATCATAGAAATTGAGAAACAGAAAGAGTGGGAGAAAGACATGTGCTTATTATCAAACACATTTCAAATAAATCAAAATTAATAAAAAAAAAAAACAGAAAAAAAAAGACAAAGCAAATATTGAACCACCACACAGCTATCCCAATTTGTGAAAACGTAGAGTTCCGAGCTCCATTTTGGATAGCTCAAGTGATCTCCAGTCGCCACCATGGTTATCTACTCGAAGACCGCCATGTTGAAAAGGAGTCGGCCGAGATGATCCTGGGGACTACAATGGTTGAACAGCAGGGACATTTGCTGACGCTGACCGCACTAATATCGCGGGCAACGCATGAAAGTTGACGTTTTTCATAAAAAGGCGGGAATGAAAGACTCTTGAAAATGCCTCACTTTTTGTTCAAGATCAAAAGATATTTGAGAAAATTCTATCAAGAATAGAGAAAGAATGGGGTGTTTTGTTTACAACGCGCTTGTTTTTAAGCGAAAATAATGTCTTATTTGGAAATGAGAAGCGATCTTCCACACAGGACACGAACGGCTGAACATTTCATGAAACCACACCATATCATGAAAAGTCAAATTTCTCAACAGTGAGATCAAAAAAGCCATCCATATCTGGTGTATTTTGTCACAAGGAGTCATGAAACTGGACAAACATGTTAAAATTTAT